GCCGGTGAGATTTGAACCGCTGAACTGCAGATAATAGTCAGCTGAAGTGGCCTGCAGTACTGCACCCTAACCACTGCGCCACCTCGGCTCTATAAAGTGGTATTAACACTTTGCCTCTGTTTATGCAGCCTGTGTTAAAAGGATGCAGGTGACCTGCTGTCTTCAAGGAGTGTAAATCCTTCCATTTCCCCATCATCCAGTCAGAGCTGAAGAAGCTTCTTGGAAAGAAAGGAAAGATATTAAGAGAGAGAGAGAGAGAGCGCAGAAAGTCCAGTTGTCTCTTGAGGAAAGAGAAACTACTTTTGGGACCCCCAATAATTCCTGCAAACACAGCTACAACCCCTTGCCAAGTGTAACATATATATCTCTTTCTCTGGATTGGGGATGTTGTGTGAAGGCAGCTGGAGCCTGTGTTGCTTGCCTGACAAGCAAAGTCAATGAAAAAAACGAGATCCATTTAACAACCGTGTCACTAACTTATCAACTGTAGTGATTCACTTAACAATGGTGGCAAGAAAGGTGGTAAAGTGGGGGGAAACTCACTTAATGAATGTCTCACTTAGCAACAGACATTTTGGGCTCCATTGTGATCATAAGTCGAGGACTTCCTGTACTCACAGGTGAATTCCATCAAGGAAATAGAAGCGAATAGGACTGGAGCCTTAAAAGTATCCTGCTTGATTTCTCCATTAGTTTCCCCTTCTCTGCAATTCCAGTTGCTTGGTGGAAATTTTCATAACGATTTGATCCATGCAAAATGATCCTGAGGGGACTTCAGTCTTCTAGTTAATAGCATTTAAGTATTTAGACCAGAGATGGTATTCAGCAGGTTCTGACCAGTTCTGGAGAACAAGTAGCAGAAATTTGGAGTAGTTCAGAGAACCGGTAAATACCACCTGTGGCTGGCCCTGCCCCCATCTATTCTCTGCCTCCCGAGTCCCAGCTGATTGGGAGGAAATGGGGATTTTGCAGTATCCTTCCCCTGGAGTGGGGAGGGAATGGAGATTTTACAGTATCCTTTCCCTGCCACGTCCACCAAGCCACGCCCACTGAACCGGTAGTAAAAAAATTTGAATCCCCCCCCATTGATTTAGACAGAAGGCCCAGCTAAAATCTCACTTGAGTTTTGCTCTGCTGTTATGGAGGATCAGTAATACTGTCCTACTCTACAAGATGGTTGTTAAGATCCCTGAGTTTATGCATACGAAATAAAGACGGTCGTTTTTACAACACCTGGTGATATGATCAAAATTTAAGTGAATTTAGTTAGGTCAATAGTGGAACTGGATGATCCCTAGCCTTTGTTTCACCAAGCCGTAGAAAGGGTTACACTAAACTCTAGGAGTTTTTTGTGATGCGCAATCAACTAGGTTGCAAAATGAGAATGTAAACATAAATTCTCTAAAACTGAAATGATCCCCAAAGTGGTTAGTTTTGCTTTTTAGAGACTTGTACGCTCACTGAGAATATTCTTTTCATCTTGCTCCGAGTTGATCTCCGTTCAGATTTAATACATATATGTATTTATCCTGATAGTTGCAGCAGCAGCAAATTTAAAATAGCTTGTCTTTTTTTTAGGATAATTTTTCCACTTGCAGTTCTGAGATTTCCTGGCGGTCTCCCATCTCGAGATCAGCTGAGCAAGATATGTGCAGATTAGCGTTCATTTCCTTGACTTAGAGATGTGGGGATAACATAAGAAAAGAGACGACTTCATTTATGGATTCATATTTTTCAGAACGTTAACATTTTAAAGCCTGAATTGAGCTACTCCTCAATTTGCAACTGTTCATTTAACAACACTTGGAAGTTATAAAGTCAGAAAAAGCAAGCTAGGATTTGAACTCAACAATGGTTGCACCACCCGTGGGGGTCACATGATTGCAATTCTGGCCCTTGCCAACTGGCTCGCTTTTACAACTGGTTGCAGTGTCCAGTCACGTGGTCACGATTTGTGACTTTTTTTGCCGACTTGCGAGAAAAAAAATAACACCCATTGGGGAAACTGGAGTCACTTAATGACAGGGATTTAATGACTGCCATAAAAATTATCATAAAATCAGGTCCAACTCGCCTCACAACTGCCAACAATTTACAATGGAAATTCCTGTATCCAGATGTGGTTATAAGTTGAAGGCCACCTATATTAAAGACGGCCATAATTTGGAGGGGCAAAGTTCTCCTATGAAGTTTTCTTGACAACTATATTGACGTGGTTTCCTACTGCTCTCCATTAGATGTTACTTTAAAAACTTTCTGGCCATGGGTGGTGCAGTGGTAAGAGTACTGCAGGCTACTTCTGCCGACTGCCAGCAGTTCGATTCTCACTGGCTCAAGGTTGACTCCACCTTCCATCCTTCTGAATTTGGTAAAATGAAGACTTAGATTGTTGGGGGCACAATATGCTGACTCTGTAAACCCCTTACAGAAGGCTATAAAGCACTGTGAAGCGGTATATCAGGGGTGTCAAACTCAATTTCATTGAGGGCCACATCCGGGTTGTGTCTGGCCTTGGGGGGCCAGGGTGGGCGTGGCCAGCTCGATGTCACTTGTGTCAGGGGCCCCTGTGGTGGCCCAAGC